CTCCTGAGGATAGTAATTATACTACCTCAGGAGGCTTTACTATAAATGTCTTACAGTTAGCATTTCACGGTCGCCACCTTCTCATGCATTATGGGCCAGGCGAGGACCTTATTTTTTGACACTGATTGCATGCCGGCGTAATGCACCTACCAAGGAACGGAGCCCCATACATACACCGAAAACACTCGATGATTTCTTCTTGGCACCAATTGGCTATGCGGTCAGTTACTCTGCACTGTACTCTTTCCCTCCTCTTTTTTTTTTTTTTCTTTCGGGAAAGGAGTAATTGATACGCGATGAACTTTTGTGAACAATGGAGCTCATTTTGCTACATCCATGTTTTCTGCATCTGCACCTGGACCATTTTCGGACGAAATTCCTTTTTTTTGGGGGGGGAACTCATTCCTCGGTGCCACTGGATCGGTTGTGCATGCTCCTGAACGTCACCTGATAGATGGAGATTTTTATTTTGATGGCATCTGGATTTGAACTTGCGTCTGTATTTCAACAACAGTTCATGCATTGGGTGTACCAACTGAGGCTAGGCCTGTTGGATGGAGATTGTTGCTTGTTATGTAACCTTCTTTTTTTCAGTTATTCCTTTTTTTGCTCTACCTTTTTTCCAGTTATTTCTGTTTTCTCTAACTTTTTTTTTTCGGTTGTTTTTTTTTTTTTTTTTTTTTTTTTGTTTTTTTTTTTTTTTTTTTTTTTTTCTCTACCTTTTTTTTAATAGTCCCCCCCTCTCCTCCTCTTGTCTAATGGTACTCATGTTAATCCTGATCAGAAGTGTCTGTTCTTTGTTCCCTTTTTTTTTTCCCCGAATGCACACAGTCAGAATTTGACTTCAAGTGCTCTCTTCAGTTGTGCTGCTCGCTTTAATCCTTCGAAGTGTGTGTGTGAAAAGAAAAGAAAAAAACTTCGGAGTGTGGTGGTTATATGTTTTGGTTCCCATCCAATCGTCCATGTATTATTTTTTTTCCCCCTCCCGTTAATGGCTATCAAATGATCAATTGATTGACTCTTCCCCACAATCAAAACATAGGACCACATTTTTTTTTGGGGGGGGGACCAGGGGGTTCCAGTGTGACAAAGAGTGGAAAATAAAACAAGGCATGAACCATGAAAAGGAATGTAGACCATTGCTGGACTGTGCAAAATGGCATGTACTGAGTAGTAGTACTTTTTTTTTTTTCTTTTTTTTTTTTCTTTGAATTGAGAATTTTTTCTTTGAATTGAGAAGAGAAAGAAGAAAATTAAAAAAAAGGAAAAATGCATGTATGAACTTGATTGAGCTTCTCCTTCTCCTCCTCCACCACCTTTCCTTCCTCTTCGCCTCGGCCTTCACCGCCTCGTCCTTCTCCTCATCCCCCTCCTCTTCTCCTCTCTCTACTCTCCCCCTTCTCCTCTTCCTCCCCCTCCTCCCCCTCCTCCCCCTCCTCCCCTCCTCTTAACCTGTGACTCTGATTTTGGACTATGTCAGACAATGAACCCTCCTTGTCTTCCTTCCTTTCTTCACCTTGCCAATTTTACTATTATTATTATAGTCTATTACAATTGTTATCACACTTACTATTACATTGACTATTATTATTCTCTTAATCTGATTTATCACCACTCCGATGCCAATGTGCGCACAAGATTGCCCGACGACGAATTCCTCCTTCCCCCTCAGGCTATCTTCTT